GCAAGTAGAGTGACCGCAAAGTTTGAATCAATGTATCGTAACATAAATAGAAGATGGTGTCCAGATGAGTTGCCACAAGTTGAGGTATTGATGGATTACTGCCGTCGCTGTGAAGCAGGCTTTACACTGTTTGGAGTCAAACTAACAGCTCAGTTGGCCTTGATTTCACTATTGTCCTGTTTTGTAGGGTTCTTTAAATTATACAAAAAGGTTGCATAAATAAACTGATTAAGCACAAAAATCAGTCACTCAGATCTTTGTTTATGGTATCCCAATTCATTTGTTAGTCTTACTATAAGTACTTTAATATGCTCTATCATTGACGTTAAAATWAAAATTGTTACTATTTTGGACTATGATCAGGATTGTCAAGTTTTGTCAGTTTTTTCGATCTCAATCTTTTTTTGATGCAATTTTTACTCCACAATTGCAATAATCTRAGCAAGGTTTCAATAGCATCCCGGATACTTGGGCTTCCTGTGTTTGGTAGATTTCTCGGCGTACGAGTTTTATTTAACGTGTATAGTTTGAGTACATTTTTGTCCAAAAACGAAACGGGAATCTGTATTCAATTGCAACGAAACGAAACGAGATTAGCTCTCTAGATATACAAAGTTTTTGACAAATCTTTAAAAGTGTAAACACAATAAACATCACGCACACGGCAATAATGCAAACGTGACTGATCAATCCGGCTAGTTAACGACCTTGCTTAAAGGCTATTAAACCGTTAACTCTGATAGTCTTTCGTTGTTCATACTTACGCTGTGAAACAAAGAAAAAGTATGGATAGACTATTGTAGTAGTATTTTTAAAAGGTTCAAGAATCAGACTGTTTGCAAAGCATAGTTTTGGCGTATATGCCAACTTGTGACAGCGATGTCAACACGGTTACCTCTGAAAACCATGACCGCTTTCAATCTTCATCTAGGAATACTCCTGCTTCAATACCAATGTTTTCTTTAATCCAGAAGAGACAGAAATTTAGGCTATCCGGCAAATCAGACTCAGACGGTCACGTTGCGGCATCACTGAGCTATACTGAAGTATCGGTTTATATCTCGAAAAGGAAAATGCACTGTTTGTCTCGATACACCAACCTTTATAACATAAACCAATGTCCTAATATATGCTCTTACACAAATGAATACTTTGGAATAACAAAAGGCCTCAAATCTCAAAGAATTAGCTCCATTTCGGCGATTTATAGTTACCGACACGGCTTACAGAGGTAATCGATGAAACGAAACGAAACGAAATGGAACCTCTCCCCTCCCCCCTCACTTATCCCTTATGTTTAGAAAATTTACTGATTAGAAATTTACAGATTTTAGACCCATTCAGGAAAAACACACATGCAAATGAAAAGTTCATGCTTAGAAGAACAGCTTATTTGTTTTGCTTTCTATTTCAGATTTCCTACCTACTTTTAAAACTGTACAAAAAGACCCCGGCGGGGGAGGGCTAGGGGCTTGTTTTGTTTCTTGCTCTTTTCCCAGACGCAGCTTTTTGGCGGGAATTTTTGGAAGTTGATATTGTTGCCATATTATGACTATATGCCAACTATTCGAAGAAATACCGTGTCTTAACAATATTCCATTCCTGAAGATTGAAGCGGTCATGGTTTTAAAGAGCTGGATGTAAACCTTGTTTTATACATCGCTGGCAGAGCGCCAATTATATAACCGACACTTTGCAAACTGTCCGATTTTGATACTATTCTATACTCGACCTTTACATTAGGGACGGGCCATTAGATTTTTGAGGGGGGGGGGGGGTTGGGCAATAACCAAAAAAAATTTGAGCAAGGATTAAATAAAGAAAAAAAAATTCATGCACAGCAAGAGTGCAAAAAAAAAAAAAAAATTCGTTCAAGCAAATAATTGACATTTCAAGAATTTGACTCACAGAAGAGAAAAACACTTCRAACCAACAACGACATTTTTTTACTTATTTATTGCTATTTTGTTGCTGTTTCCCGTTTTCACTGTTTTTGAGGCTTGACGTGTAATCAAAAGTATGAACCGTAAAACGCATTTCACAACACACTTTTGGAGCCTTATAGAGTTTATACAAAAAACGAAAAAGCAGTTATATATATGTCAAAACTTTTATACTGAACATCATCCAGTTTTCATCTATTGTTATAAAGGGATAGACCAGACATCAAACTATAATATAAAAATAAAAATAAAATATCAATACAATAGGAACAATATCCCCTATCTCCAGGACCAAATCAATTTTTTTCTTCTAAAACAGTATATACCACCCTCTAGAATTTCATCACTAAACCACTACATCTTCCACAGCTAGCACCTGCTCGACTTCACCCAGCCTCAATCACAACACTCTCCTTCTCTTCAATTTCATCACCAACCACTGCCTCCACAGCTATCACCTCCTCATGGGACCACTATGAAACACTATTATAATACCACATACAGCCTTTTGCAAAAATTATGAGAATTGTCTAAATATCTAAATATCATAATATCCATATCCATATATTGTCCGGAACACGCGGGTTTGCTAGAATAATTCATTGTTGACATCGAGAAAATGTTCAGAACTACGGATAAGTCTGTCGCCAAAAAAAAA